TTACATTTGAGGAGGGATGTCCCAACCTTAGATGCCAGGTGCTAATGGTAACAGCAATAAGTGCCTTACTCAAGACATTACTCTTGGGCTCTAATACATCAGGAAACCTAAACCTAAGCATGTAGGAGGCATAATATTCCTGAGATTGCAAGATAGTTGTCTCAGAGAATGAACTTCTGTCAAGAATGTATAATCCTTGTACCACTTTATCAGCTGCAATGACCTTATGAGCCCATAGGTCCTGCAGCAGACAAAATGATTCAAAGAAACGGAAATGCACATGTGAGTCTTTGGCCATCTTCCTAACAGAAAGCAGATTATGTTTGAAAGAAGGCACATATAAACAATTTTTCAGAGTTATAGAATCATGAATATCATAATCACCTGTGGAATGAACAAAAGTAATATTACCATCAGGCAATTGTACAGGAGTGCATTTGGTAGTGGATTTTATGTGAATCAAAATGGCTATATAGGCACACATATGACTGGTAGCACCAGTATCTGATATCCAAGCACCTCTATGTATATAATCAGAAAGCTTGGAACTAAGGAAGGAGAAAATGGTGCTACATGCAAAATCCTGGAAATGTGCAAAATTGACTTGATGATCATTTGCAACTTCCAATGGATACTTTCCTTTCATGAATCTGCCAATCTCTCTCTACACTGCCTCAGATATCATAGCACCCCAATCCTTATCAGAATGATTAACAGTATCCACAGGAGTTTCAGAACTGCTAACATTATTTGCTGCTTGAGTTTTCCCTTAGGAGGTTTCCACCAATCTGGATAGCCTTTTATCTTGAAGCAATCCTCCTTGAGATGTCCTGTTCTCTGACAGTGAGTACAGAACAAGTGACTCTTATCCTTCTTCACATAAGGCTGCTTCTGTCCTGCATCCTTCTTCCATTTAGGATTAGATCCTTTCACCATCATAGCAGCATTGTCATTAACTGACACAATTGAATTAGCCACTTGCTTATGCTTTTCAGCTTTTAGCAACATAGAGTAAACCTTATTAGCTGTAGGAATAGGATCCATTAGAAGGATTTGACTCTTTTCTGCTTCAAAAACGTCACTGAGGCCCATCAGTAGCTGCATCACTTTATCCTCTGCATCTCGTTCCAACAACACCTTCCTAACAGTATCATCACAAGTTGGCATAGGCCTAAGCTGTTCTAATTGATCCTACAGCTGTTTGATGTAGCTGTAATATTGAACAATCGATAGATCCCCTTGCCTTGTAAGTGCAATTTCCCTCTTAAGTTGAAACATAAGAGCAGAGTTTGAAGCTCCATATCTCTCATGAATTTCATCCCAAAGTTCCTTTGCTCCAGTGATGAAAGTAAAACTGTTGACAAGTTCAGAAGAAATGGAGTTCTTGATCTATGAAACGACCATGCCGTTGACTCGGTGCCATTTGTGATAATCCGGCGATCCTTCTCTTGGCATCATACAGCTTCCGTCCACAAAACCTAACTTTTCCTTAGCTTCCAATGCTATGATCATTGAATTTCTCCATATGAGATAATTCTTCTCAGTAAGGGGCACTGTAACCAGTATAGTTCCAGGCGAATCAGAGCCATGGAGCATCAATTGTTCTTGTCTGGCATTCATGATTTCTTCGTCTCGATCCATTCAGGCACCAAATCAAACATGTGATGGTTGAGAAGAAAATGAAAGATGATTAACCAGTAATTACGCAAGAATAACACCAGATCTGATACAAAATCTCCAAGAAAATTCGAAAGAAGGAAATAACAGGTGATCAGCAGAAAACCTGCTCTGAAAGGAAAAGAAAAATTTAGAGAAGAAGACAGCGGAAATGATAGGTGATCAGATAGGATAAACCTGCTCTGATACCATCATGAAAAACTCAGGATCGAAAGAAGCGGAGAGCTAATGAAAACCGGAAATGAAAACATCTTCTACACTGTGTATGTTTCTCAAGGTGTATTTTACAAGAAGTCTAGATCTATTTATATACAACTAAGAATCTACATTCTACAATTTACAATCTTAATTCTTACTCTAGAATCTTCACTCTAACTACCTGCAAAATAATTACAAGAAGATCCTTTTGCGTGATCTCCAAGTACATTCCGTGGGCTCCAAGTGTTGCTCGTGGTTCCACGTGAAGATTCTGGAAGCTCCTTATGATTTTCCAGGTCAGCAGCAGTTCTTGCAAGTTGCAGGCTTTGGCGAACGCATTCTGCGTGTTCTGTGTTTGAAGAAGAAGAAAACCGGGAAACAGGAACGTTGTCGTTTGCTTCAGTCGGTGGATTCAAATTTGAAGTTGGTTGCTGGCGGGAAATGATCATTGCCATGCTGGCTGTGTGATTCTTCAATATATACCAAAAAAAAAGAAATAAAAAAAAATCATCGTCATGAATCCAACATGTACTTTCTAACTAACGGATACCAACCTAATTTACGTAAGTATCAATCTTAATGAAATTTAATTACTTACATCATTTGACCCTTTTGAAAGTTTGACGAGTCTACGTAAATGACTTGTGTGATACGCGATGACCTTTCTGTCCTTTTCCATTCACACAGCTTATAAAAAAAAATAAAAGTATATGGTTCATGAAAAACAATCAACAATTAATTACTTTAAGTGGAGAAAAGACAGAAATTCAACAATAGAGCTCAATTTCTTTACGATTTGAAGAAACATTGTAAAGCTAGTTCATATGTATCTTTTATTCATACTTAATTATTAGCAATGGAGTAATGAATTATATGTAAAATTGAGTAAATCTATATACTCCATAAAGACAATTGACAGAAGCATATCAATATATCATTGATGCGCTCTACTCTACCCGTTCTCAGTCTAGAATTCTAGTAGTTTTATTATAAGCAGGTAAAGATCGAACAAGGCAATAATACCTCATATTCTCTACTATAAATCATTATTATCGGTTTGGATTCTAATATAGTTTGATTAAGCACATAAAGATCAAACAATGACACAATAATTCTGTTTCATGTATTTAACGAGGATCAAATGTTAAACATCACAAACCTTGTACATACGCGTATATCCATAGTATAAGAATTCCAATCTTACAAACTGCAAAAATAAGATATTCCCTCCGTCCCAAAAAAATAGCCCACATTGAGTTTGTACTATTTTTTGTACAAATTTGAAAGATTACTTTTTTTGGGACGGAGGTAATATATTATTATCTTTTATTGTGATTATCACACGAATAACATCCATACATCCATTAATCCTAACCCTTTCCTGATGGTTGTTTACATTTTATGCTCCATGTATATAGTTTAAAACTAAAAAAATAAAATTGTGACAGTAAAAATAAATAATTTTTCCACGATAGAGGGTATATCAATGGGAAAAAAAAAAAACCCTCTCTCCATTAATTATTTGACTTGTAGACTTGTGGGGATATCTGTACGGTTTACATATAAACGCTACACATGAAAGAACAAAAAGATATCTTTCTTGGTTTTCCGGGTTTTAACTTTTAACAATATACTGTATGTTGTTGGACTTAAGCCTTCTTTAGTGAAACAAATATAATACTAGTAGATTTTATAAATCACTAATGAGACTGTCAATTAATTCCACATGAAAGAGATGAAAATTCGTGAAACCTTAAAAAACAAAAAAGAAGGAAAACGAGCCTAAAATGATTTTACATTTACTTGGATGTAATTCCACGAGGCAAAATGAATGAATTGAATTTTGGTTTGCAAGATTGTCCTTAATTTACCTCTCCCTATGAACATTCACTATTCAATTCAGAATTAGTTAAATAACACTTACTGGATTCGAATCTTAAGTAATATTCTAGTACTTGCTAAAGAAAACAGGTCATTAACGAATTATCTGAGTAATTGGTTAATAAAGATTCAATAAGATGGTTATACACTAAACATATTAGATGTTACAATTTTCTATCAAAGAGTCCAACATCTCCACTGAATGAAAAATCAGAGACGATACGATAATTACCAAAGATAGACAATATTGAAATAAAACAAAAGCAGCCATTCTCATTTTTGTTTCGTTTTCTGTTTTTGTTGATCATGGCACAAAATCTTTCATGTTAAACTTAAGAGAGGGAAATCGAATGCCCTTAGCCACTCTTTTCATTTTGGCCATAGGTAAAATGTGTACATAATCATTGGTGTCAAATTGGTAATGTTGTTGAGATAGATAGAATAAGTTAGAATAATTGAACACAAATTAAATGTCACGTTGTACACTAATCACGTTGTACACTAATCACGTTTCACTGGTGAAATCATTTTATCACTAACATATAAATACGTTATATCAAAAAAAATACAAGACATAACTGATATGCAATACGTAACATGATATTCGTGTCTTATCCAGACTACTTTGTAGAGTCCTTAGATCTTCCGTTACGAGTTCATCATTGATTTTGACATTGAGTTGTTTGGGTGACTTAAAGATGCTAATTCTTTTTCTCACTTAAAATAATTGTCTCATAATTTAAATTTTACTTTGGACGAAAGGAATACTAATAATCTAAGTAGTTTCATCCCTTCTTAAATCTTAATGCCAAAAAAAAAAAAAAAAGGAAAATACTGTAGATTATATATTTAGAAAAAGAAATGGAAAATCCGAAAACAGTAGTAGTAGTAATAATGTAGGGCCCCAATAAATACACAAATAACGTTAAAACGAAGAGTTAAGAGAAAACATGTGGCTTCAGAAGTGAGAAGAAAAAGCCTACGACGTCTCGTCTATGCAAAATTGCTTTTCGCCCCACACAGGCAAAGGCCTTCTTCTTCTTCTCCAAATTGTTTTCCAATCACCTCCAAAATCAGCCAAACAATTGCCGCCAAATTCTTCAACCTCTCTAATTATATTCACCATGAATCCAATCCGCCATTGATATTCTAACTACTCTTTCTTGTCTCTTTCTTTCTTTCTTTCTTTCTTCTTCCCTTACCTCAGGGTGGGTGAATTCAATTGAATTTTGAATCACCACACCATGGGCAACTGCAGTTCCAATCCCAAACCCAAACCCAAACCCAAACCACCCAAACTCAATCCCTACTCCCCCAGACCTCCGCCGCCGGAGCCACTGCCGGAGGAGCCCTTTAGTACGGACACCCCTGTTTTAAATACTCCCAACGTCATCGTCAGTGGCAAGAAGTCCAAGTTCTTTCCCTTTTCTAGCACTCCCAGCCCTGCCCGTTACTTCTCTAAGAATTCTCCGGCGTTGGCGCCGCCGCCTTCGTCGGAGCCGCGGAGTGCAGCTTCTACTCCTGGGAGAACGTACAAGCGGCACCTCCGTCCACCGTCGCCGGCTAGACATGTCAAGGCGTTGCTATTGAAGCGACATGGGCGGAAGAGCACGTCCTCAACCGTACCGGAGGGGGCGGAAGGCGGTGTTGCCGCGGCGGGGGAGCTGGATAAGAGTTTTGGGTTTTCTAAGCTGTTCACGAACAAGTACGAGATGGGGGAGGAAGTGGGCAGAGGGCATTTTGGCTACACTTGTTCCGCCATAGCCAAGAAAGGGGAGCTCAAGAATCAAAAGGTGGCAGTCAAGGTCGTCCCAAAAGACAAGGTACCTCTTTCTTTTTGTGTGTGTGTGTGTGTGTGTGTTTTTTTTTTTTCCCTCTTAAAACTAAATTTTAATTTTCTTTTACTGAGACGTCAATCTCGCTTAACTCTTCTGTTGTTTTTGTTGTTATTTATTTATTTTATTTCCTTTCCCCATACATTGAAAGTAGTAGCCTCTTTCTGTATCTTCACCTTTTAATTCTGGTATTGTTGTTTTTATCTTCAACCTGATCCTGCAACTCCATTCATTTTGTATTATTCTTATTGGGTATCCAATCTCAAGTTTCGCATGGCCCCTTTCTTCAATTTGTGGTATCTTCTGGGATATGGTGTGATAGATGGAAATGTTTTTTTGGTTTCAACTGTGTCTTATTATTATTATTATTTTATTGTTCCATTGTGACGATGATTGGTAGTCAATGATCTGGATTAATTTAAATTTTTTGAGCATCTTTCTAGCGTAAAAGTATACACATGCGGATTGCTACGGACTCAGATGAATTAGTTTTGTGGTCTCGTATATTAACTTGACTGGATCACCTGTTTTATGCGTTAAAGCACCAGCAATAAACTTGAGCATATCAAATGAACAGCACTGAGCTGGATTGTTTGGAGTTACAGTCTGGAACTCTGGATAATAATTTTACTAATCTGATGAATTAGTTAAATGCCACTTGAGAAAATTCTGATTGTAATTTAGATTAAGGTCCAGAGAATAATATTCTTGTCATTTACCTAAGCTAGACAGCTAATTTACACTATGGTTGGAGCTTTGCACATGCATAATTGATTCCTTGACAGTGCAGTATTGTGATAAGAAAATCTTAAGCTAGATGAGTTATTATTATCGTTATCATTTTTTTTTGTGTTGAAATAGGGCTAATAGGAATTAAAATTAATGTTCATTATTTTAGGAATTTGATGCCATAACTCTCCACCTCATCGTTTGAACTGTTAAGACAGATTTTCTGCATGTATAATGTGGTATCCTATTTATCTGGATATGCCTGAGATTGTCTCAATCCTTTGGAGAAAGCACTAAACATTGAAATTAATTGGACACAATGTTTTGTTATCTCAAACGGATTTTCCTCTGTCCCTTCCTCTGTTTTCTTGCCACGTATCACAACCTTGTCCTTGTGTGTGGTAGAGATTACAATGTTGAAAGGTTTCCTCATAATGCCGATGGTAGTGCAAAATTCTTACCAAGTCCCCATTTCCACTAATGCAAACTTTGAACAAATTTTACGAAAGATTAAGAGTGAGACACATTGTTCTATTCTATGTTTCTTCAGATGACAACAGCCATTGCAGTTGAGGATGTCAGGAGAGAGGTGAAGATATTACGAGCATTGACAAAGCATAGCAACCTTGTCCAGTTTTATGATGCATTTGAGGACGAAATTAATGTCTACATAGTAATGGAGTAAGTAGCTTTAGTACTTAATACCCAATAAACTTGGTGGTAAATTGTTTAATTGCTAAATTCTCTATTTTATGAGTAGGGCTAAATATCTAGATCATGGGTTTCATGAGACTCTAATAGCAACTCAATAAGAAGAAAAAACTAGTTAAGATTGTACGCAGTATTTGCTGTAAATTACTGGGAGTAGCTAAACATATTTTGCTCAAGTGGTTCTTTATTCGTATTGATGTTGACATTTTATAATGCACTTCTAGGCTGTGTGAAGGTGGAGAGCTTCTTGATAGGATACTGGCAAGGTGCGATATTGATTGGCATGTCAAGAAATCAACTCCCCATGTTGTTACTCGTTAAGATTTCTGAACAATCTGTGCTTAAACTTCAATTTTCAGGGGTGGCAAATACTCTGAGGATGAAGCTAAGGTGGTGATGGCACAAATATTGGATGTTGCTGCATTCTGTCATCTTCAGGGTGTCGTGCACCGTGATTTAAAACCTGAGGTAGGTTAATCATGGAGATATCCATGCTAGTAGATAGTTCTGTACTTACATTAGCATGTCTTTTCTTTGATAATTAGTTTACCACCTGCAAGAGAATTGTCTGATGCTGTCATTTCAGCTCCTTCTGTGATATTGTTTTGTTATGTTAAATCGTTCTAATCTCCTCTTTGGTGTTTTTATTCCTCAGAACTTTTTATATACATCAAAGGATGAGAGTTCCCAGTTAAAAGTGATTGACTTTGGCTTATCTGATTTTGTACGACCAGGTGATTCTTCGTTGAATTATCAGATATTAGTTTCATTATTATCATTGCGAGTCCAAATGTGTATTCAGTGTCTCTTGGTCCTGTGCAGATGAAAAACTAAATGACATCGTTGGTAGTGCATATTATGTTGCACCTGAAGTTTTGCACAGATCGTATGGTTCAGAGGCTGATGTTTGGAGTATAGGCGTAATAGCATATATTCTTTTATGTGGAAGTCGCCCTTTTTGGGCCCGAACTGAGTCAGGCATTTTCCGAGCAGTCTTGAAAGCTGACCCAAGTTTTGACGAAGCCCCATGGCCTTCTTTGTCTGTGGAGGCTAAAGATTTTGTCAAGCGGCTGCTTCATAAAGATCCTAGGAAAAGAATGACTGCTGCACAGGCACTGAGTTAGTATTTTACACCCTAAAAAAATCTTATTTCAAGTTTCCTTTTCTTATCATTTGATTATTATTCATAAATCGTTTTGCAGGTCATCCCTGGATCCGAAATTGCAATGGTGTAAAAGTTCCTCTTGATATCATTATATTCAGACTCATGAAAGGGTACATGCGATCATCGTCATTACGAAAGGCTGCTTTGCGGGTGTGTTTATAATCTGACGAAAGTATAAATGGAATTAATGGGGCATGACTAGTAGATGTTTCTATTGCAATTATCTACCCTAAACCCTAAACCCAAATGATTTATGAGTATTTATCATCCTGCGGTTTTTTTCTGATATGGAATACAAGAAATAATGTGTGTATAATATCTTTCTGTAGGCATTGTCCAAAACATTGAATGCAGATGAGCTTTTCTATCTGAAGGAGCAGTTTGCATTACTGGAGCCCAACAAGAATGGTTGTATAATGCTAGACAACATAAAGACAGTAAGCATCTTTTAACTCCATTTTAAATTCACCTATGCTAATCTTTTTCTTCTTCCAGTTTTTATCCCTCATTCTCAAGGAAAGAGTCCATTACTTTCTCTTCAGCGGTCATATCACCAATCAATAAAATGTCTTCTAAAATATTATGTCTACGCAGGCACTAATGAAGAACTCTACGGGTGCTATGAAGGAATCTCGAGTTCCTGATTTTCTTGCCGCGGTAATAGCTTCAACCGCTAGTAGTTTAAGCTTTGAAATGGCTCTGAGCTTTCCTGATTTAGTTTTTCTTTGTCCTTTGTTATCTATGGCAGCTGAATGCACTTCAATATAGAAAGATGGATTTTGAAGAATTTTGTGCAGCTTCAGTAAGTGTTCATCAATTGGAAGCGTTAGGTCAATGGGAACAGCATGCTCGTAGCGCATATGAAATCTTTGAGAAGGAAGGAAACCGGGCTATCGTCATTGAAGAACTTGCATCGGTAAGTCAGATGTCTCCCCTCCCTTGGAACACTTCCCTGGTCGCACTTTTCTGTCATGTTGTAGATTGTATGTTAAATTAAATGTGTACAACATCTGCTTTATCATTCTCATTCAGCTCCTGGAAGTGTGTCAACGTAATGCATAGACTGTGTTCCATTCGACTGTTTGGTAATTTCAAAGATGCCATTTTCAGGAACTTGGGCTTAGTCCTTCAGTACCAGTTCATGCGGTCCTGAATGACTGGCTGAGACATACTGATGGAAAGCTAAGCTTCCTTGGATTTGTTAAGTTGTTGCATGGTCCCTCTACTCGATCACATTCTAAGGTGGCATAAAATCTTTGTGGATCTTTGTGGATATAGTATACTCGGACTGTTGGACAAAACATGTCTCCCATAGTTGACGAACTGGGGAAAACATGCTGCCACTGTATGAAGCAAGGACAGAGGCAATCAAGTGCATGCTGATTGGATATTTGGGTTGTTCGAACTGGCTGGAAATGCTTCAAAAGAAACTCGTGTGGTTGCAATTGGTTTTTACCTTATACCATTGAATAGGACTATGTTTATACCATTGTTGAGGAGCCAAATTGTGTATTCGTACCTAACAGCGAATCTGCTTGCCGCAGCGTAAATGTGTATAGGGATCAAGGACCATGAAATGAAGTCGCTGAGCGGGTTTAGCTTCAACAGAAATGAAAGCCATTACAGGAGCGAGGCATATGGATACAAAGAATGTAAAGTTATGATGGGTGATGTAGTTTAGGAATTGATCAATATGTTCATCCTTCTCCTGACAATTGTTCTCATATGTGCAAAAGTGACCATCGTTGGCCAAGAACACAGATCCATTGTTTTCCAGTTCCTGTTAAAAAAAAATAGCTAGTTAACTTCTTAGTACATGAATTTTTATTTTATCTCATTGTTCAGATGTTGAGATTATAAAACTACTAGAACTAGATCAAACTATAAAACTAGACATGTTAATTTTTTTTTTCCCAATAAATTGACTTGCGATGAGCATGAAAACATATGAAAAAGAAAAAAATTCAAAAATAGAAATCGTCCTAAGCCGTTTCACGCCGTCCAAACTAATGGTGCTCGCGTCGCGGTAATTATGCTTGGGGATTAAAAAGTAACGTTAAACGTAAATTTACAAACCAAATTTACTCCCCCTTATGTTTATGATGAAAGCGTGCAGTCCTTTGTTCCCAGGTTATTCTATGACGTTTTTTTTTAACAGGAAACTGAAACCGTAAGCGTCCGCAATTGTTGTTGTTCTTTGCAGACGGGGGATCAAAGTTAAGAGAGATCAAAACAATCCAAACCGGCGACGTCGGATAACAATTTCAACGGAAACGGCGCCTTTAGATCCATTGCTAACGTTGAATCGTCTCAAATTCAAAGTTTTAGGGTTTTATTCAACTTTTCTGCTTCTTCAGTAAATTTCACGATTCGTAGCCATGACTGAGGTATGAATCTATTAATATTCCACTTTTTAGTTGTTTATTTATTTTTTTTGTTATCAATCTATCTTCAGCTGCAATTTTATCTTTAGTTTCATGGATTGATAGGACGAGTAGCTGTCAAGCTTGTGCAATTTCCTTTGTGACCCAGTTTGCAGACTGCATTAGGAGAATCTTAGTCCCAATTTCTTGAAAAATTTTAACTTCTAATTTATAGTCTGTGGCAACAAGTAGGATGACGCAGTATTTTCTTGGAGTTCCTTGATGGGTTTATGACCATCCCTTTTTTCTCCTGCTTCGTGTTAAGGAATTGCCTGGTGTCATTGGTTTCAAATAAACGAAACAATTTGAGTCCTTTGTTGGCAAGAAGTTGATTGATCACTGCCACAGTAGATAGGATTTAGAGTTGCAGAACGTTGGTGCTTTCTCCTCTATTTGTATTTGAATGGTTTCTTTTTTCTTTTCTCTATCTCGTTATCAGTTGTTGGTCTTTGTCAGCAACTCTTTGTTACTCATTTTAGCTCTTAAGGAAGTCTGGATGTTGTTAATGAATGATTCTAAATGCGAATGATACTAATACTGGGCCTTTTGCTTGTTTCTCCAGTTTTGGGTTAGTCAAGGTAACAAATGGTGCGACTTCTGCAAAATTTTCATATCCAGTAATCCTGCCAGTATAAGGAACCATGAGCTCGGGCAGCGTCATAAGGATGCGGTTGCACAGCGGCTTAATAAGATGCGGGAAGATAAAGTTGCCAAAGATAAAGAGGAAAAGCAAGCTGCCCGAGCTCTTGAGCAAATTGAGGCTGTAAGTGCCTAGATTTCTTTTCTTTTTTTTTTCTGGTTGAACAATAACTTTTAAGCTTTATACTTCATTATATTAAGTATTGTCCTGACTACTGAGTGAGGAACTTCTCTTTGTTATAATCTTGACAGAAAGCCAAGCGAAGCTATCAAAAGGATATGGCCAGTTTCCAGCAGGCTAGAAATTCCAATTTAGAGGCACTGGTTTCTCAAGAAGACGGGGAAGGGGCTACCGGAGGATTCTCTGGAGGTATAGAAAAATCTGAGGATACATTGGCGTCATTTTTCTGTGTCCTATGTAGTCTCATCGGTTTTAATTTGCAAAATCTATCTCTTAATTATCTTTTGTACTTACCCAGTCTGATGATGGCAGAGTGGGAGCTTGACAGCTCGACAGGCTATTACTACAATAAGAGTGGTGGGTGCTATTATGATGCAAACTCCGGCTTCTACTATACTGAAGCTTTAGGTATCAGTTTCCCTTTACTTCTGTGTTTCTTATTCAGTTTTTGCAGTTCCAGGAAGCACATTTTGTGTCACTTTTGGATTTTTATACGTATTTTCATGTGTATTGTAACAGGTAAATGGGTGACACAGGAGGAGGCGCTAGCCTCTATTCGACAATCTTCAGGTTCAATCCAGAAGAAACTTGTCCTGTCAAAACCATCATCAGCGGTGTTTGGATCATCAGCATCAGGAGGTAAAAGTGTAGCATCCTCGCAAAGTGCACCTGCACCTGGGCCTGTTGTTTCAGGAACACTAAATCCTATGCGAAATGTCAAGGGTGCTCCTTCCAAACTTGCTGTCAACAAGAGAAAAAGGCAAAATGACAAGCCAAAAGTTGTATCTGCAGAAGAAGCAGCTGCGCTTAAAGCAAGGGAGGCTGCCAGGAAGAGAGTTGAAGAAAGGGAAAAATCATTACTTGGTCTGTATAAGCACTAACGATCAGTTGCATTTGACTGTCCTGTCAAACATAGCAGGTAGGGTTTTCGGATGTTATTTTCAACTTTCTTGTTTCTTTTTTTTTCTTCTGAGTAAAAAAGTTTACATTTAGATGTTCTTGATAACCAGAAATTTTGTCTTGCCAAATGGCTTCTTCCATTCTGAGGTCAGACGTGGTGCAAGGTTCAATCCTAGTCAGTTTCCTGTGCTACATCTCATATTCTTCAATTCTTGTAAATTTGTAATACTGAAATAGCACCCCTCCAGTCTTGCCTTGTTCGATGCAACTCAATTAATCTGAGGTCTGCTGCTTTTGAAAAGATTTTTGTAGTCATGAACTTCCTTGATGTGAGTGCATGGGTCTTGGAGCAGGGAATTTTCCTGTGACGTTAACTGAGAGTATTGCCTAGCTGCCATCGGATGCAGGATTCTGTGTAAAGAATTGACTGGCTTTGGCAAGATTATGTAGACTATTTGATTGCCATCAAGTTCCAGGTAGCAGATTTATGTGGTAAATGCAGGTGGGAAAATGTGAAATGCCGTACGCACCTGCTCTTCGGGTTTTCAGTTGGGCTCAATGTTTTTAGACTGTTTTTATTGACAGTGAAAAAGTGATGTCAACTCTGAAGTATGTTTCTTGCACATCCTATTTGTTGCTAGAGGACTGTTGAAGATTTGAGCAGTACTAATCTGTGACCTATCGGGTAGAATGTAGAGCAGGCCATTTGTGAAGCCATATAAGGTTATATTGGAAGTGAACTTTTGTACTGTTTGGCTCTAATTCTTTTTCTCCAGAAGTAATGTTTGAGGACTTTACATTTGTCTATCGTTTTGCACAAGAACATTACTTCTGATTTTGGATCTGTTAGCCATGTCTCAGTGTTTTTCCTCCCTTTTTGAAGTTATGTAGACTTAACCTACTGCCTTCTACTGGATGCAGTTTGGAAGAGTATTACCTTGGTTAGATTCTTAGTTCTTTTACTTGCCGCAGTGATCAATGGTGCTGTGGGACATGAGAATAGCTTTGAATTGATATGGAGAAGGCAAAGTGTAGGTAGCTAGAAGTATTGGATAATGCCAGACCAGGTTTAGCAAGTATGGGCCTAGGCTGTGCATTTGTGCGTACACATTGGGTGGGTAGTTGCAGGCTTAAGTGGAAGAAAAGTTGGTTCAAGACCGGCAGTGAAAACTTCACTGTCAGTATCTGGGACAGAAGCTGAGTTGAGGACCCAGAAGAAACTGGACATAACAAATTTTGAGGACAACAATGTTTTATACCTCCTCAGTGGGGTGATTGATGATGATGTTGTAGCCTCTTTTGGTTTCTGGCTTTGAGACGTGGACGACGACTTTGTCAACTCTCACTGGCTTGAAAGTTGAAACGACGACTTGGGGCTCTCTTGTATGATTCATTGACTTGGTGAGGGGTTACTGGGTAGGCCCTTTTCTTGACTGGACCAGTCTACGATTTCGGCCTAAAGTGGGTGATGAGTATTGATTGTGTTACTCCTATGTTTTAAAATAATTGTCCGAGTTAGATTTTCATTTGTTTATGTATATTAAAGATGAAAATTTAAACTGGACAATAATTTCAGGACGAATGGAGCAGTATAGTTGGGGTGTCCCAAATGTCAATCTTGCTCTAGCACAAGTCGTAAAACTGACCAGTTTGTTTCTGCATTCTACTAACACGTGCAATCCTGGATTTCTTTATCTTCCGTTTTGACTGCTACTGACAAACGTCACTACGTTCTTCTTTCTTTTTTTTTTTTTAAATATATAGAGCAGCAAATGGGTGTTATCTTCTTCTAATCTCGTCAAAGCAATCCAATATGAACAGAGGGAAAATCATGGAGAAATCATACCTTTTTACCTAAAATGGATGAAAAACCCGAATAGATAAAGACTATAAACTGCTAAATCAACTGCAACTCCAGCCTCGATGGTATTGGTAGTACCACTTGAGGGTGGAGAAATCAGATGAATGGTGCAGATTGTATCATTTCTTCTTTTTTTACTTTAATCACAACCAAGTAAGACTTTCTTCAAAAAAAAAAAAAAAAAAAAAAAAAACCAAGTAAGACAAAACCTTAATTTAAACAATTATATTCAAAGTAAGCCGCCCCTAATACATATATTTGGTTAGACTGGTATTTAACTCTTCCTGTGGGTGTTACAAAATTAACTACACGGTAAATATAGTTTAGTTGAATTGCAACTTAGATCATTATAGCGAACCTTCTTTGCTAGTTTTTGGCTGCTAAGCTTGTCCCACGTTTATTTTATCCTTAAAATAGAAAGAATTGCAGGAATTTTGGGTGTTTGGGGAATGTGGGGGTTCAATCAGTGTAGTAAGTTATGCTCCATCCGTCTCAAAATTATTGTTCGTTTTGAATTTTCACTTGTAGTTCAATTTATACTAAAAACTCAAACTCAAATTAAACAATAATTCCGGAACAGAGAATATCTTGCAAATTCTTGCAGTATAACTAAAGAGAATGGTTGAGTTTCTGGAATCAGAGGAGGAGGATAATGTAATCATTCTCATCATCAATCGCCATGAAATGTAGCATTTTACGGAGCATAAAAACCCAGAATAACCACAGACACCACCATTGGGAATGTCATCATCAACCCTATCATCACCGCCATCATAAAATATTTCTGTAGATAATAGAAGTCAGTACTCTTATGTCCGAACAAAATAGTTCATATTATGTTTTTGAAAAGGAGTGAGTATATGACATTCTAGTTAGTATAATTAGTTAGAAATTAAAGTTAAGGACCCAACAACCATATAGAGATGATTACATCCACCATTTTAGTGACTTAACCTCAATGTTAATCTAATCTGCCGCGTGAAAGTAGCTTTCTATTCTGGGACCAACGCCCAGAATATAACTTTGTAGCACAATTTCAGGCTTTTAAGTTGGGTTTCTCTTAATCACGCGACATAAAAAATAGCCTTGAAAATTTTGAAGGTGTAACCACTCTTTTTATGTCACGAGCAGAAGTAACAGTGGAGGTTTCCTCGTTTAAAGCAAGATACCTTGCTTAAGAACTGTATTAAATATGAAAATGTAAGCCAAAAAAGGCCTTCCATCGAGCTGAAGAGATTTAACAAAAGTTTTCTTATTAAGCTTTCCCTAATTGATAACAAATGATCGCTTCCCTAGGAATTAGTACACGATCCTACTTTTCTCCCTGCAAAGTGGATGACATCTATGAAGATTCTCTTGCTAGTGAATAAAAAACATTCTGAATTAAGACAACATACTGACAATTAAGTCGTGTTTCATATTCACGATCAAAGTTAATTTAGTGTTGAAGTGTCGGTTTTATTTCATTCAAGGAATCTAACACATTTGTCAGAAGTCTTGATTTTCTTATAGAGTTACCGTTATCTTTAAAATAATAGATTGCGTATGTTATTATAAACGTGTCATTAATTTATCGAGTTAAGTTCACGTTGTAATATGGTGCACCTCACAAAAGTTATTTTGCCAGAACCATAAACTTATGTAGCAAACTTGTTCTATTTGATAGAAAATTGGCTTAGTTTTTAAGACTCTAAAGACGGATACTTTTTAGTAACTTGGACAATAATTCGATTCTAGCACACGAATGGTTTGTGCTCAGGGAAAAAAAAAAAAAAGTTATAAAATTCCATGAGTTGGCACCAAAAGCAGTTCGAAAATATGAGGTGCTGGACGCCGCGGCAACTGGCAAAGTAGCAAAGATCGATCGAACTTCAAAAGAAAAAGAAAATGTGCAAATATGTCCAGAATTTTTGGGACAATTCATGGCTGTCAGGATATATTGCCAGATTGGATAAAAAAGATTGCTTTTTAGGGTTGGAAGGAACACATTATTTTTCTCCCAACCGTGTGGCAACAAAGCTAAATGACGCACGAATGGATGATGGTCCTTTGTTTATTATACGATTTGTTTATAGCCTCATATGTTACTAGTAAGCTTCCAAAAAAAGTTTTGTAAGCTTCTTTGTGTACATTTTCGCGTTGTCGCATTGAACCCAAAACCAAAGATGACGACCAATTCATAAGTTGTTTTAGTTTTATGGTTTCGTGAAGAACAGAGTTTTAGTACGAGAAAGAAAAAAAACAAGCTTAGTTAAGTTCTTTAGGCTTTAATATAACCGAATGCATTTAGTACTTGCGCTTATGGCCATTGCAATAAGTCCAAATATGCTGCAGGCATTTTGGAAAAAAATAATAATAAAAAAAAAAAAACTGGAGTAATAATACTTCTAATTGGTTCTTCAATCTGACAGGTCGTTCTGCATTAATTAAAAAAAAAAGGACCATTCTCTGATGCCATCATATTAAAAAACTTCTGCACGGAATCTCCAAACATTTCAACAAACTATTGTAGGAATGTATCCAAATGCCTGTCAACATTCAACAAAGAACACCGCAAGAAAAATGTCAAAATCATGCCAAGCAAGTGATGAATAAAATACTTTATTAGTACTATTAGGATTCACATTGGTTCTTGAAACTGATTGGTGGTCATAGGCATAGTTCTGGGGAAAAACTATCCATGATTATTGATGATGATTTGGTCATGATTTAAGCTGTTGAATGGTACTACTTCTAAGCAGATAACAAAATCAATGTCTGATTGAATAATCTTGGAAAGCAAAATTTTAAGCAATGATAAGTAATAACAAGAAAAAGAAAATGATCAACGGAATATTGACTGATCGTATTAAGTACAAAATCATCACCTTTTACAGGCGAATCAACCGCCAGAACAAATAAAAGAGGCAAAAATACTTCAATTTGTAGTTCTTCTTTGGGCTAATAGATACAGGATTACACAGACTGAGATTATCAGCAGCATCTCTGAAAAATAATATTTGCTCTTGAGCAGAACTAATAAAATTCTGAACTAATTAGTTCGATGAATAGAACCAAAGCTTCTGGAAATTTCATGAATTGGGATTCCGGGATTGAATCCTAAGCAGCCCAATAAGCCCTGTTTATATGGCAAGTAAGTTTTCCTTTTAAGCTCTTCCGAAACTGCTCTGTTTGCTGTGTAATGCAATTCATGAGCTGAAACTTGCCCTCTTCTCTTTGAACTCGATACTGATGATCCAACACTATCTGTTGATCTAAAGCTCGAGTTTTTAACTTCATCTGACTCAGAACTCCTTCTCAACAAAGCATACTTTTTGAACTGTTCTTTGCCTGTGGCCCGACCCTCTGATGCACTTCTGAACAGTAACAAATCTTTCAGCTTCCATTTCCTCTGCCAGAACGAAGAGAAAGACGAAGAAGATGATGAAGAACCGTTCTTGGTGATGTTATCTTGGCTACTATTACTGCTTTCGTGATCATTTAACAAGTCTGAAACTCGAAATGGGGACAAAGATCTCGTCCCTTTTTGCCTTGAGGATGGATTTTGAACATTTTGAGTCCTTCCTCTGCTTCTTTTTTCATCATCAACGACGATAAAAGAAGCACTCTGTTTCCGACTCTGTTCCAGAGCTGCTTCAAATGGATCGATGTCCTTCTTTCTGTAATGCCTCGGAGACAACGCTTCCTTCAGCTTCTTCTTAGGCGATTTAGGCGATCTTGGGCTGAAGGAATTATCAGCGCCGGGATTTCCATCGAATTGTAAACGAGGAGGCGGCTTCAGAGGCTTGATTTTTCCGCCATCGAAGAGCTCATCCGCCGCACACAATGAACCGACATCCAAATGTCCGCTGAAATCAAAGGCGAAATCTTTGTCCTCGTCCCTGAGCAAACGGGATTCTTGGGATTTGGGAGTTCCGGGCTTTTCTTCCCAATCAAAAGGAACTGAAGAAGACAACTGTTCATCATTGGAAGCAGGAAGACTATGATTGGGTTCTTCAGGGAAATCATTGAATTCCCTGTAAAAGGAAGAAACCCGGGTCGGACTTGTAGGGGCACTGTAGAAAAATGTGCCAAAACGCTGTGGACTTGAAGGGGCGCTGATGTATGGAGAAGTACAGTTGCTATCGAAGTTGAAATCCACAGCTGGAGAAGGCATCATCACTTGCAACTCCATTTATTTCAAATCCTCTGTTTTTTTTTTTTTCAGTTCCCCAGAATTCCCAGAAAAAAAAAAAAAAGAAGAGTTAATGCTTCAGCGGGATCAGTTCATAATAAAGAAGCTTTATAGTGACAAGAAAATGGTTGAAATCATAGAAAGAGAGAGAGAGAAAATGGAAGGATCAAGGAAGGAGGAAGAGATGGTGAAAGGGAGGGAGGAATTGACCTGATGAGAGAAAGAACAGAGCCGCCTTTTTAAATCTGTCTGGTTTTGTGTATCTTTATTCTATCCGCCATGGATGTGGACTTTTTAACAACTTCAGCCGTGATTTCCCGAATTTACCCTCCGAGGTTTTGGTCATCTTGAGGAGGGGGGCAAGAACAATTTCAGGAGTATACTGGTCTTTTCGCATATTTGGGAGATTTGTAATTTTACTCAATTTGTAACGTCTTCTCATTTCACCAGGTTTGACTGGGGCTGAGGAGCATTTATTTACTGCTGTTTGTTTTGAATTTTAAAAATTTGTTGGAATGATTATGCTCATTAAAGTACGATTTGATTGCGATATTTTTGGTGCCGGTTTTTAGTTTTTTTTTTTTTTTTTTCCTCGGGGGTTAATCAACCGAATTCTCTCGTATGGAATATTTACCGACAATTGTTTTTTTTCTTTAATAATAATAACGTATCCTCTTTATGTTTTTTGAACTCAAATAAATATAAACGTATGGTTCTTTTTTTTTTTTTTTAAGATCCAAAATTAATTATTGTTGTGATTTTGGACACCCAACGTTTAATATACCAACAAATAGTCATGATTTATTTTTCTTAAGACGAAGGAATTATAATTTACACTATCATATTAATAATATTTGCTAACGCCGCCAGTGTTTTTTTAAATAAAAAATAATAATAATAGAAAATCCAACATTGAAACACTTCGTTTTTCTTCCTTTGCGGTTTTGGATGTCATTGCTTTGGTATTTTTTAGCTTTTTTCCCTTAATATTAATGATTATATTTAAGGGGGAAGAAATAAGAACAAACAAACACACATAATTATTGCAATTTGACTTTAAAATGTCAAGTTTATTTGGTGAAGAAAGTGATAGATGCATTCCCTCTCTACTCTTCTTCCTAGATATATAAAATGAAGAACATGCGAAGTTGCAATTCTATCATATATATATATATATGTACTACTATCTTCCACATGTTGGCTTCTTAATTCTTAAAACAAAAATTTGTGGAAAATTAGGAGTTGTACGTTGATTTTGGAAGGGGTCGAACATCAAGGTCGGCGTTTCCTTTTATTGACAACATGCCAAATTAAATTAAAATATACTCTCTCCGTCCCATAATTATTGTCCAGTTTGGATTTTCATTTGTAGTTCAAATTGTACTAAAAGTAAAATCTTAAACTGGACAATAATTTTAGGACAGAGGGAGTATTATTATTGTCTAGAAATGATTATCTAATTTAATTTTTTATTTACTTTTATATAAATTGTACTAAAAATGAAAGTATAAAACTAAAAGATCCATACATTTATTTTTTTTAATTTTTATTTTTACAAAGAGAGAGACTAAACGCCTAATTTCGTCCTAGTAAATTTCGAGGGTATACTATCCCTCTTGAATTGTAAAAATTTGGAACGCAATTTTTTCTTTTTTTTTTTTTTACTTACCTCTAGGTTGACAATGGCAACCAACGATAATTTATTGGTTCTTTATGGGAGGATGATAAGACTTTGATCGCTTAACTGGTTTGGCAGCTTAATAACGAAAATTCAACATTTAATATGAGGTAAGCCATTTAAAAAAATTGAATTAAACACGAGGAAATACTGTATCACATCACGCGACTATTAGTTTTCTTGGAGATGGAATCAATCGAGAAGATCAACGTACACAGTCCTACGCCAACCAAACCAATTAACCGCTACATCCATGCGTTGTAACTTGTTAGTACAAATTTAGTGCCTAAATGGTTGTTGATTCAACTCTAAAAATGACATTTTTTTTTTAAAAAAAAACCTCTTTTGTCGCATAATTATTGTCCAATTTGAGTTTTCATTTTTAGTTTATTTTGTACTAAAAACAAAAATTTAAGTTGGACAATAATTTCGGGAGGAAGAAAATGTAATAAAGTAGTACTCCCTCCGTCCCATAATTATTGTCCAATTTTACTAAAATGAAATATTTTATTTTTAGTCAAACTTAACTATATTTTACCTTGAACAACCGGATATACCCCTACATAAGTAATTGTTTAACCACAAAGATTTTAATGGATAATGTTTTTTACTAAGGACAAATGTGTAACTTGATCCATAAAAAGTCAAATTGAACAGTAATTTTGGGACAAAATTTTTTGGGCAAAGTGAACAATAATTATGGGACGGAGGGAGTATGTGTTTTGTAATTAACATCCATTGTCCAAGTGTACCAATTAGGCCAAGAAAATTTGATATGCAGTTCAACTACATCACGATCAAACTAAAGTTTTTACCAATCCTCTAACTTGAGAGGTTCTTTAACTCAGTTAGTCTCTCGACAATCAGAGTTACGTTCACCGCTATTTGTATAATTTTATATACCCTCACCATATATTCCTTCAGTCCGAAATAAGAATCCAATTCGAATTTTCATTTTTAGTACAAATTATACTATTGAAATTAAAAAAACTATCGTTATGGAACCAATACGTAAATTATTCAACGTCCTCGTTGTGGAACCAATAAGTAATTAAATTGTTCACCTCAAACAAGTCTGTGGATCTCAGTTGTATCCTTAAGACCTTAACCCATGTTTGATCACACTTGTTGATCAGTGTCCATAACCCTTTTTTTTTTTTTTTTTTTGCCATCTCAAAACTCTTTTCATACATTGTGGCCAATTTCTGGTAAGAACACGAATTTGTCATCGCCTACACTTGATCCCTGAATAGAGAGTAGCTTGATGGTTTCCTCCCTATAACTTGAAAATATTGCGCAATTAAGTGGGTAAATTATCCTTTCCTCAAACCTCTAAAGGTGATGGATGAATTTGCAGCTTCCATCCATAATGATGATAATGTACTCACGCTCACAGTGATAGTGATAAAACTTTCTTTTTTTTTTTTTTCCCCGTTTCACTACAAAAGTAAGCTAGTACTACTTTACACTGTTTCTCAATCAGATCAAATCAAACGCCAAGAAAAATAAGAAACAGGCCAGATTCCTACCTATAAGCATCATTTGACAGTAAAAGGAGACGGTGTAACTGCTGGTTTCGGGAGAGATTTTCTTTTCCATGATTAGTAGTGAGATTATATATCTTCTGGAAGGCTAGCTTTTGATCAACCCGGAGTATCATGAGCATTTTTACATTTATCATATAATACACGTTCATATGGTAAGTTGTTGATTTGTATTTGATCCCATCTTAACTTTTTTTGAGTTTTTATATTAAATGTAAAATTTGATCGTATTCTAATCTTAAACCAATATATAATACTCTATTGTCGTCCCAAAATGAGTACTCCTTTTGTCCCAAAATTATTGTCCAGTTTGAGATATCATTTTTAGTATAATTTGAACTAGAAATGAAAATTCAAACTAGACAATAATTATGGGACGGAGGGAGTACTATTTATTCAAGACATTAATAAACAACAATTATTTTGAAACAAAGTAAATATATTTTCAGTTAGAAAATCATATCCCAGTCAATCTCTTATGTTTCGGCTATGAATATGATGGCCTAAGAGATGCTGAACCTGAGGTGAATAACTGTGTTAACACTACTAATCTTTCCTTTCTAAACAGAACAATCAAACCAAGATTTAAAAAATAAAAATAAATAAATAAATAAAAAGCGGCAAGGAAGAGTAATTTTCCTTGATGGGGAGACCAATATTGATTTAGACTACAAAATTTCACACCAACTAGCACACTGGTCCAGCTAAATTATAGTCAAGATTCGTACCTTACACCAGAATACGATGGTGATTCATAAATTTGTTTAATCGACTAAATTCGGATCGTGCATTATTGGGTTCATTTACCAGGTGTGTAATGTGTTGTAAAAACAAAAAATTTCACAATCATATGGATTAATCATGCCAAAGAAAAATGTGTGTATATGTATGTATGTTCATGAAGAGGACAGCAAGTATTGATTTAACTGTATAAAAAAGACAACATAATACAGACAACTATTGAGAACGTTAGTCAAAAGTGCACCAAATGTTCCATCATTTTCAAACAGTAATCGAATTAGTAATAATTGGAATAACCCTGTTGGGTCTTTTTGAATTGTATCAACAATTAATAATCTAGCTCAGGTAAGGTGGAAGATTTCCATCCAAGAAGGATGAAAATAAAGTAAATGCCCGAGCTGGCTGATAACTTGGGACAAAATGTCCAGCTCCCCTCACTGTCACAAATGTTAAGTTTTCATATCCTACCGCATAACCCCCTACCTGAAAAAATGGTAACATCAAACTACAGGATTAAATTTAAACTTAACTTAGTTTTATTTTATGCCTTATAAATAGTGATGGTCCATAAACTCGCTATACAAAGAAAATTCATGTAATATACTTTCTCTGTCGCAAGAAAATAGTCCATATTAAATTTTCAAATTTGTACTTGAAATAATAAAATCGCAAAACTCAATCTGAACTATTTTTTTTTTGGATGGGAGGATCAACGTCTTTTTCCCCCTTTAGTTACCTCTCCTTGAGTGTACCAAGGGTACCAGGGAATTCCGATAGACAAGTTCATCTTGCTTAAGGCATATCTTGTTGATGTTACCGGGACTACGCTATCTGTATCTCCACTGCAATATATATATATATATATATATATATATATATATATATAAGCAACATAACAGTTCCAATTAATTCGGCTGGGCTGTATAAAGTGTTTTGAGTGTTTGATGTCAAAGAGCATTGCAATCTGGTAAACATTTACCTAAAAATCCAAACACGAAGACCGCTGGACATGAGCTCTTTGATGACAGGTAAAACTGTGTCTGGTGCATCTTTCCAATTGTTTCCCACAAAGTCACTGTACCCAAAAGTGCAATGTATAAGAGCTAAACTAAAATTTGATTAGTAATACTTCTTCCGTCTCATTGAAATCGTCTTGTTTTAGTAAATACAGGTATACCTGCATGTAATCCAAGGTCCAGGGAGTTGAGTAGTATTTGCATGAAGTGATTGCTGTACTTCCGGAATGTTTAGATAAGCTGCAACATAATCGTCAGAGCATGGATCGAATTCATGTATCTGCATTGGACATGGCAATATTGATTTTGGATTATCCATCTTCAGGGAAGTTGCAGAAAACGTAGAATATTAATATTAATCAGGAATTAGAAACCAGATACTTACAGATTGATTAGGAGGTGTTGAAAAATAAGCAGAGGAATTGCACAAGGGAGCATATATGTTGTAAGGGAAAATATTTCCTTGAGCACGATATAGTATTTCAAAGACTGTTTGACAGTCCTCTGATAATGGATCGGCTAAGGAAAAATTGCAGTTTGAAACTGTGGACTGATGAATTTCATCAGAGATGAGTGCGTGCGTCCACATGAAATCCAGCGTCCCCTGATTTTGTGTTTCAATGTCCAACAGAGCATTTCCGATCTGCAAAACAATCTGTAATTAAGTTTGCATTGAGTTATTGAGAAAAAGTGAGCAAGTGATGAATAAACTTAATTACCGCAATTCCTCTCAGGTTGATCGCGGACTGGTTAGTTTTATTGTTGTGTTGGAGGATTAGTTGAGCAAGCTGAGGAACATAATGACCAGCATAACTTTCTCCTGTAATGAAGAAGTCCCTGGATTTGTATTCCGGGAATCTTTCCAACCAGTTAACAAGAAAGGTGTAGGAATCTGCTGCTGTTTCTTCATCACCGGTAACATAATCCGACAACGACCTATTCGAGTAGGAAAATCCAACGCCAGCCGGCGACTCCAAGAAAATCACATTTGCCACTGTATTGAGAAAATCATTTGATCTGATTCTCCAATATATTCTTTCAATTTGTATTGATTCCTGAATTTACCAAATGTATAAGCTAATTTCTTACCTTTGTTCCAGGCATAAGGATTCTGCCACAGGGTCTTTCCATCTTTACTGACTCGAAATGGTCCAAGTTCTTCCAATGCTCCACTTCCAATAGAAGAGCAACCGGGTCCTGCATTAATGAAATTTAGTCACAGGCTTCAATTAGGCCAGAAGTATCAACCTGAAAAAAGTTTGGATATTATTACCTCCATTTAGCCAAAGCACTAAAGGCGCGGAAGTAGAATTTTCAGATTCGGCGAAATAATAGAATAGAGCACGACCTGCATCTGGATCCACTGTCACATATCCAGCATATTGATCAAAATTGATTCCATCTGGCTGTCCTGGCAGTTTAGTGATCTTGTCAGCTTCCTTCAATCCATCTTGAAGGCTAACATAAACAGGGGAGTATTTGTTTCTCAAACCCTCAGATGCAAGATTGACTGATAATTTCCGGGTACGAGACCTGATGTGTTTCGTAAGAGGGTCATTTCCATTTCCGCCATAACATCGTACACATGCCAATGTCCAAAAAATAGCCAGAGAAATGATCAATCCTGCTCTCATTTCTTCGTTATATATTCAATGTCTCACCTCACATATTTTCTTTTCTCACAGAATGCAATTCAGGACAAAGCTCTGCACATTATAATTGTACATGAAGAGAAAAAAAAAATAAAGAAAAGAAAAGAAGAAGCATAAAGAGCAAAATGCAAGAGCTGCCAACTACTAAACAAACATTCATGGAAAAGGGGTTTTTCTTCTACCCATTGCCTATTCAAAATTACTTGGTGAAATGTAGGTTATGATCAATGGTCTGTTTGTCGAGTATGATTTCAGGGCTTCTTTTTCTTTTTTTCCTTAGTTTGACTTCAATTTGATAAGCTGAACACACAACAGCCATTTTTTTATTGGTCTGTTCCTTCGTATATCAAATACTCCCTCCCGAGGCATTTTTGATCTGTTATAAATTTCAATTAGTATGCTCTTCCCATTGAAAACAAAACCTTAAAAAATAGTTTAAAATAACAACTGGGAGAACAAGACAAATGTGAAAAATATTTTCAAGGTTTTAAACCACGCATTAAATAGCACCATACGTCCTAGCAAACAAGACGACGGCTAATCCCCTTGCAACAGTCCAAGAAACCAAGAGGGTGCTCTGAACTCCCATTCACTTCCCCTCTCACGGTGCATCTTGAAACGCTTACGAGCATAATCGCAATATGTGTTACATGTTTTGTTATACCGTTATCAGCAGCTAAGCAAGCAGGGCTCATCGCTCTTCCAAATATTATCAAACTCAACTTCCATTATGCAAAATGTGGCCCCACCCCCAGTTTCATCATCGTGCTCGTCCTCGTCCATGTCCTCATCCACATTCCCAGTGTTCCTATGGTTGCTCCTCCGATGAATAACATGATACTGGCCAAGAAACGTTTCTTGGTTGGTGGACCCATCAACGGGAGAAGCTTTGAAGGTAATATAACACAGAGAATAGGAAGGTTTACGGGAATAAGTCACATGATCAATCTCCTCATCATATTTGAATTTCTGTGTATGACTCTTGTCGTCGTTGTAAAATTTGATGCATTTCTCGGCCATTGCACCGAGTTTAGTACTGGTGGTACTCCTATCTTTGAATATGGCGGACATCCCAGGACTGATTGTCTTCATGTTTTGGTAATAGAAAGGCAAGATTGCTGACGTTTAACATCGGAAGGCAACTCATTTTTCCAGTGCAGCAAAGCATCAAAAGGTTTGACACCGACGCTTTGTCGTCGTTGTCGTCCTCTTCCTCCTCCTCAGGACAAGGCGACTGATCCAGTATTTCCAATTTGGGCTTCCCCTTAACACCTATCAAATCCTTAACATCTGAATTCTCAGAAGAGGCTAAAGGAATCAAAGAAGCAAAGCATAATCAAGCAATTGGATCAGAATCGGAAGAAAATATGATGTTCTTGATATAGAGAACTCAAAACCAACAGAGAGAGAGTATGGTCGATTGACGTCACTGATTATTCTGGAAAAACATTTCTAAATGAAAAAGTATTTACAAGTGCCTTATATACTGCACGAACTAACTATCTTTCTAACATTTACAACCAACTGACTAAACTCCCTAATATTTACAATCAAGGACAATTATGAAAAAACTTCAATTCAAGTCACCCCTGGATCGAATCCTTTGTGTGTAATCACCATATACGTGGACTCCTTCACTTGATCACTCTTTATCCCCCCTAAGATGAGCATTCCATAAGCTCATCTTGGACAGAAGGAAGGCAAAAACAGAAGCTGAGAGTGCCTTAATAAAAAAATCGGCAAGCTGAAGAGAAGTAGGAACATAGAGAGGAAATAACGTACTAGCTTTATACTGATCATGAACAACGTGGTAATCGATTTCGATGTACTTCGTTCGTTCGTGGAAAACAGGGTTGGCAGTAATCTCAAAGGCTGCTTTACTGTCACAATACAGAGGGACCGGCAAAGAAGGTTGAACACAAAAATCTTTCAGAATGTACAAAATCCACTGAAGCTTCCTGGTGGCAACAACCATAGCTCTGTACTCCGCTTCAGCAGAAGAGCATGAAATAGTTCCCTGTTTTTTTGTTTTTCCAACTGATTAAACTACTGCCTAAGAAGACACAATATCCGGTCAAAGAATGGCGACTAGTACGGCAAGACCCCCAATCAGAATCACAGTACAGTTGCAAGTTAAGATCAACATAAGAAGAATAATAAAGGCCACGATGAATACAACCTGAAAGATAGCGCAAAACATGGAGCGCAGCTGTCCAGTGGGAAGAATGAGGCTTCTGAACATGCTGACTCAATTATTGTATTGCATAAGTGACGTCAGGATGAATATAATTCAAATACAAAAGACGACCAACTAACCTCCGAAACTGAGCAGGATCAGGGTGAAGAGGAGTATGATCACGATCTTCAGAGACAAACTGTAAACCGGGGGAAGATGAGTACTTGCTGCCTTACAATCCAACATGCCAACAGAAGCAAGGAGATCAGTAATATATTTGCCCTGACTAAGAAAAATGCCGGAAGCAGAACGGGCGATTTCCATGCCAAGAAAATACTTAGCGTGACCCAAATCCTTGATAGTGAACAAATCATGCAAATATGTTTTAACACGGGCTATCTCAGCATCACTAGTCCCAGTGACAATCATCGTCAACATAAACTAAAAGGAAAATATGATACTGAGGAGTGATACAGAAGAACAAGCAAGGATCATGATACGATTGCTGAAAACCAAAATTTGTTAACCTGGTGGAGATCTCAAGTTCCATTGACGAGAAGCTTGCTTTAACCCAGATTTCTTCAATCGAAAACTTGGCCAGGTTGTGCCTTGGTATAACCTAGGGGTGGCAGCATATACACTTCCTCTTCTAGGGAACTGTGAAGAAACGCGTTGTTGACATCAAGCTGGTGAACTGGCCATTTCTTACAAGAAGCAATGGCAAACATCATACGAACTGTTACAACTTTAGCCACAGGGGAAAACACTTCACAAAAAATCCTCCCGTTCGATTTGAGTATAACCCGAGTATAACCCTTAGCGACAAGCCGTGCCTTGTACCTTTCCATAGTTCCATCAGCATTACGTTTAATCTTGTATACCCACTTAGACCTACAACCTTCTTACCAACAGGGGGTTGAGTCAATTCCCAGGTATCATTGACCTCAAGAGCCTCAAGCGCTTTATTCATGGCCTCTATCCATTTAAGATTAGTTCTAGCCTGATTAAAAGCGCTAGGTTCAAATAAATTTTTATATGCATTGAAAGGAATAAAAGAGGAATCAGAAGTGTTAAACAGATATAAATGTGGTTTCATAATCTTGTATCCAAGCAGGACGCTTCCTGTCACGAGTACTAACCCTTAGAGGCAGTGAAGTAGGGGTATTTGAAACAGGAGTAGATGATGTAGGAGACACAGAATGTGAATGAGAGGAACATGATTCAGTAAAATGATTAGAGTCGGACGAGAAATCTTCGCCCATTAGAGGTGGAAATTCCTCTCCATCACAATTTGAATCCTTTGATGTTCCATTGGTAACCAACATTATTCTTCACACCCCAATTTTTGTCTTCTACATATAGAAAATCCTCTTTCTTCACAAACGAAGAAGGATCTCCATATATAAGTACCTTCTGCTCGTCAGCATAGGTAAAAGCCAAATCGATATGAATTTCTTCCCCTAACTTGCCTGACTCATTTATAAAGGACCGTACACTTTTTAAGAATGCTTCCCTTTTCTGTACCTCATCCTCATCGAAGGAGGAGGCGCCGTCATCAATTTTTTGGAAGAAAGAGGGTTTTTTGTCGGCCATGGTATGGTTTCATGGGTGTTGCAAAGACGCAAGGTTGTGAATAAGTAGCTGGTTTAGTTTACATCATTTAAAAGCCCACAAAGGGCCCAAGCCCAATGTAAAACGTATATATCACACAAACGTCCAATATAAATCTATTCCATACAACAACGACAACATATTATGGAAGGTTAAGATGTACGCAACCTTACTCTTATATTTCAACTAGAATTATTCCCGTGCGTTGCACGAATTGTATTAAATATATGGTGTAATATTGCATAAATTATCTTACGTGTAAGTGAAGCATTACTGTCGCAACATAATATAATTTGTATCAGGTTTTGTAATGTAATAATTATTGACCGTGTTTATTAATTGAATTACATTTATATTTTTACAAATTTTATATTCAATATTCAAGTTAGTCTAGATTTTAAAGAGTTTATAATATTATGACCCATTGATAGTACAATTTTGGGAATAATAATTGATATATTACATATATTTTTATGTTAAAATCAAACCTTTACTAACTCTTTATACATTATCCTACGCTAAAATGTAATCCAATATGAAAAGAAAACAAAAATGAAAATTCAAGAGAAAAAACCTGAATAATTTTTAATAAAATTACTGTTCAAAACTATCATTAATTTGTTATGACTGGGGTTAGAGGGTGTATAAATATATTCCTTACGGATATCATTAAGTACGTCGATACACAAGCATTAAAAGAGCGTACTTGACACACAGCCAATTGGGCTATGTGGGTAATAATTAATTGTTAATTAATA